TAACATCTTCCCTAAGGTTACAATATTTCAGACTTTCTCCCTCTGGGGATTGGGCCAGGGTATTAATCTTTCAACCCCCCTGCTCATTGATATGCTCCTGCACATATCATGTGAAAAATCTTTTGTGTTCCAAATGTCTTTTAAAAACAAGAGTGCACATGAGAGGCTTAATTTAAATAGGACGCTGGTGGGGTAGAATTATTTGCCTATGCAATCTGCCCGGACTGCAGATCACTGGCATGCTAACACTAAACGTGTCGTGCCTAATCTGGACCGAAAACTGAGCAGGAGACCCATTTTTTTTCTCACCAATGTCATGGTTGCAGTTGGGCCTAAACTACCCTAGTTAGCTAACCTCTAAAAAAAAAAGTTATTGTGGCTGCAGTTTGCTCGTGAGAGTGATGGAGTGCCTGAAGTGGGACACATGGAAGATTCCAGTGATTACAGAATTCACAAGGTCCGCCTGGTTAAGACGCTGCACTGCAGGCTGTGGAAGGTCAGTAGTTCAGCAGTTCGAGACCCGGGTGCCGCATGATGGAGTGAGCTCCCATCTCTAGTTCCAGCTCCTGCCAACCTAGCAGTTCGAAAGCAAGAAATTGCAAGTAGATAAATAGGTACCACTTTGGTGGGAAGGTAACAGCGTTCCGTGCGCCTCGGTGTTTAGTCATGCCGGCCACATGACCACGGAAACGTCTTCGGACAGCGCTGGCTCTTCGGCTTTGAAACGGAGATGAGCTCTGCAACCCTAGAGTCAGATTCGACTGGCTTTCGAGCAAGGGAACCTTTACCTTTAACTAGCCTACAGAAATATTTAGTAACATCAGTATATATGGTAATTTAAAATCACTTTTCTGTCATTGTCTGTTATTTGCAGAACTTATAAAACAAAGATTGAAAAACCCGTCAGTTCTGAGATTACAAAATTAAAAAGTAATGGAAAATGTATAGTAGGACTTTCTGCCCACCTTGATGTAACTTCAGATGAGCATACAGAAAAACTGTGGCCACAATTACATCCCTTTCATTAACAGTTATTTTTAAGAGATTATAGCTAACTCAAGCCAAAACAGAATTAATTGTCCTCAAATCTATTAGCTATTTGTAATAAACGTGCATATCTCCTTTCTTCTCCCCTGTTCCCCATGAGGATGTTAGAATTCAGGCTGCAACTTGCTACCAGAGTTCACCCCAAAGATATAATAAGTAATAGAAGCTCTTTCAACATTAGCCAAGTGACCATTTTCTTCCTCTTAAGCTGTCTTGAATAGCTTTCAGGTATCTTCCATTTAAAAACAGGTACCAGCTTGTTTTAAAGCTAATGCAGTCCCTGCAACAAATGCAAATAGCTGATCAGAGATAACTTTAGATCCTTGCCTATAGGTCAGTTTTAGAGCAAGAAAAAGGTAAACCGAAGTAGATTATAATAACATAATTATAATAATAATTTCTCTCATGAAATCTGATGCTGGAATAAAATGTCATTGGTTTCTAAGGTCCCACTGGATCTTTGAAGAGAGCTGAGCTCTTTGCAAAACAAAGCAAGGTGCTAAAAATACTCCATAACTGAAACCAGTTCAGTCAGCAGTAAGCTTGAGCTTATCCAATGGGTTTTAATTTTTTTGTTACAAAGAGTTCATCCTGGACAATGTGCTGCAAGTCGGAGCTATGAGTTCCCATCTGGTCATAGAGGGGAATTTCAGATCACTGGTTGCAACCAGATGACATGTTAATGACAAGCCTAAAACGATGCATGCCTGGAACAATGCTCTTTCTCTCCCCTTCAGAAGTTAATATATAAGTGGGAAAATGCTTTTAACATACTTGTTCGCTATCCTGGTGTTTCATGACTAGTGGTCTTCCATTCAAGGGACTGATCAAATCTATACCTGCTTAGCTTCAGCAGTATAGTAACATCATGTGGCCCCAGGGGCACTTATTTGGCCCCACAAACGGAAAACTTTACAAAGTGTGATATCAGCACTAGCAGTCTCATGCTGTGTCCCCCCCCCCCCACCATACCCAAGGTGGATCATATTCAGCAAAATCATATAAGGATGTTCTAGAGTTTTTCCAGGCTTTGCATAATAAAGTGCAAATGGTGTATTTTCTGGGGAGCTAATTAAGATAAGAATTTACACATTTCCTCCACAGGTTCTCCCATCACATGTTACACTTGAAGCACAAAAGGAAACAGCATGATTTATTCTCCCTTGCCCTTTTATTTATGCCTCCTTCATAACACAAAGCCAGAATACACATTATGGTCATCTGTATGGTGCTACCGAAAGCTTCTCTTGGCAAGTCACCCTAGGCCGGTGTTAAAATTTGCAAGTACGCACAGTGTGCTCTCTCTCTCTCTCACTTTGTGGGTCTGTCCTGCCCCCTTTCCAAATGGCCACTGGGTACATAGAGGACATGGATATTATCAATATGTAGCAAGTACTTGCAAATATTGCCACAGAAATGGGTTTGCTTGCTGTGTGGTTCATTTAGAACCATGATGTGTGTTCTGGTCTAGGTAAGACTGCTTCGAGATGGATAGAGAAACCCTGGACTGGGAAAGCATGAACCGTAGATCTGTGACATTTATACAAATAGTTCAGGAGTAAGCGTTACAAGCCTACACCTGTGACAAAATGTTGTGGACTATTTTGGAGAAGAACAGTTGGTTTTTATACCCCACTTTTCTCTACCTTAAGGAATCTAAAGGCGGCTTGGCTTCCCTTCCTCTCCCCACAACAGGCACCTTCTTAGGTAGATGGGGCTGAAAGAACAGTGACTTGCCCAAGGTTGCCCAGTAGGCTTCATGTGCAGGACAAGTGGGGAATCAAACCCGATTCTCCAGATTAGAGTCTGCTGCTCTTAACCACTACACCGCGCAGGCTCTCTATAAGAACTTACAAAGGCTATGGGGGCCATTTTCGGAGGTATAGGAGAACTGTCACAGGCAACGGAATAGTTTAGAAGCAAATCTGTACCTACTTAGCTTCAGCAGTATGGTAACATCATGTGGTCCCAGACACACAAAGATGGTTACAACAGTGGCTTTCAAACTATCTGTGTTCAGAGAATCTTTTCTTCATTTAGTGGTCTCTGCCCCTGTGTCATTAAACCCCCTTGTACACTGTAGGAGGTTCTGGGAGGTGTTGTGGGATACACCATCATTTCATGTGTTGTCTAGTCTTGTCAGATGTCGTCATCCACCGTAAACATAGTCTGTACTCTCTTGTGGGTGCACATTGTATAAAGCAACTGATAACAACAGGGGTTTTTGTTTGTTTTTGTTCATTTGATCAATATCTTTCTTCCAGAAAAGTAGAATGGTCAATTTGCATTCTCAGGCAGGTCTCCACACAGGTACTAGACCCAGATCCACATAACTTCAGCAATGTTGTTGTGTCATGTGCTTTCAGATCATATCCTGTGGCCATGACTGATCTTTGTATTGCAGAACATAAACTTCTAACAATGCCATCCTAAGCAGAACTGCTCGGAATCCTGCTTATGTCTGTTTATTGGGGCTTACACCCAGGAAAATGTTTTTAGGATTGCACTGAAGAAACATCAGATTTTCCCCAGAACACAATTTGAAAACCACTGTCTGAACGATAAAAGCAAAAGTCTCATAGGTTTCCACGAATATACTGCTGATCGACTGTAATGCGTAGAACACAATTTGAAAACCACTGTCTGAATGATAAAAGCAAAAGTCCCATAGGTTTCCACGAAACTGCATGAGTGAGAATTAGAGGGAAAACAGCATGGATAGTCTGTTGCATTTCTCTCAATAAAATTTTTAAAAAAAAGAATTAGAGGGAAAACAGCATGGATGGCAAAGCTCTTCTGTAGTTCAGTAATACAGGAGCAAGCTGAAATCCATGGAGAACTTTATCATCTCCAAAGTATTAGTTGTTTTTCTTCTCTCCTAGGTGTGGACACTGTCAGCGTCTGCAGCCAACTTGGAACGAGCTTGGGGACAAGTACAACAGTGTGGAAGATTCATTTATTTATGTTGTGAAAGTGGATTGCACTAAGGATGCTCCACTGTGTTCCGAATTTGGTGTCAGAGGATACCCAACGTAAGTCTAAAACGTACACCTTTCTTCTACTTCCCTTTCCATGGAGATCGATCAAGATGTGTAGCCGTGTTAAACTGTCTCTACCAGTGGAAAAGAAGTGAGCAATGACTCACGAAAGCTCATACCCTACCACAGTTTTTGTTAGTCTGTAATAAGGTGCTACTGGACTCTTAATCTTTTCTCTTTCCATCTATTTCTTTGGGGGGGGGTCTGTATGCCTCTGATGACTTGATGAAAGTAACTGCACTTGATTTTTGTTTCGGTAACATCTTAGTAATCAAAGGCTCAGTTTCAACAGGCTTACCTTGCTGCCATGTGGTTCTGAAGTATCATACTGTTGCACTAGATTCAGTTTTATATCTGGGACGGAACGGAATTCAGTTTTTCCTCCTCCTGCGACTGTGACTTTATGCTGGCAACAGCTAATTTAGCAAGGAGATGGTCTCTGTTTTTTAAAACCCCTTAACATTGTACGTTGCTTTAACCAGCCTTGCTCGAGTGAATAAAAGCAGCATTCCGTGATAAAATATGCATGATATTTGCTCATTGCTGCTCCCAGATTATAGCAAGAGGTGTAATAAACATGCCCATTTGTTTGCCTATGCCAGGATAAGAACAGCTGTGTAATTGCACCAGACTGATGTAACAGTTTTATAGCTAGCAGAAGACCGTTCAGTTGCTCCACTGGGCGGTGGTGATACAGACCACACCTGATCTGGTACAGCCATTGCTGAGCATTTCCTTCCTTTCAATGCATTTTTCTATTGCTAAGTCAGGAAAGAAAGTGATTAATGAAACCCCGAAAGTTCAAACTGTAATTCCAAATATCCATCTACACTTCTTGGCAGGGGGAGCCCGTTGGGTGATTCTGTAGAGACGGCTTCTCCCTGTGGACTTCCTCCCTGTTACGGGATTTACATAACCTTAGGCCATCCCAGCGGAACTTGTGTGAGGCTGACAGCTGTTCAGTTTCATATTTACTGTAAATTATCTGACGCTTATTGGTAGACTGCAGCTATCAAAGGGCTTAACTTGCCGTGTCTGTCCGTCAGTCTCTGGACCGTTTCCTAGCATTTTTATTCGTTTAAGAGTCTTGAGGTTCTTCATATAAAATGCAGCGTTCTATATTCTGCATAACTGGTTTAGCAGTCTTAAGAGCAGTTGTCAGGAAAAGCACAGGGGTACATCGTCTTGACAATCTGTGATTCTCGAGGCTGTGTGACTCTCAGCTACAGCGCTCTCAGCTTATAAAGGGGAGGTTATCAGGTGGTGCAAATAAAGACTGGTTGTCTTCATTCAGTGAGTGATGCGGAGGAGACCGTGGGTTGGATCTTGCAATCTGTCAGTGGAAAGTGGTGAGAGTCTCCCCTCTCCCCAGCAGCCATTTTTGACTCCGGGAAGGTTTATTGCTCCCTCTTGCCTGTTCTGTGAGCAAAGGTCCACTGTTGAATGTGGAAGAAGAAAACAATTTTGCCCCCCTTCCCCCTCTCCACTCTAATCTTCTGAGCCACGTGGCTGGGTACCTTGAAGTACACTTTTCCAGGATTGGGAATGGCTGACGGAAGGGAGTGGAAAACTGGGAAGATCAAGGATTCTTGCACTGGATCCAATCCTGTACGCCCTTTTCATGTATTCTGGGATGAGGGTTTTTTGTACGCATTTAGGTAACATGTTTAGGTAACTCGTAAAAATAACAATCAAATAATGATTAGCAGGTATCTGAATTGATCAGCATACTTTTGAGAAAGAAATGTACACATCATGTGTTGACCAAATCATCTTTAAATGAAGTCACAGTTCAAACAGCATGCCAGTTCAGAGAAGCAACTTTCTTAATAGCCTAATGAATCCTGTTAGAAATAATTTCTGGGTTTTTTTCTCAGTCAGTAGTGACACCACTTCCAAATAGGATAGTAGCTTATGGAAGAGCCAAGACAACAGAGAGATACTGTCTGCGTGATTCAATGGACCTTGTGTGCTTGTTAGAGACTTTGAACATCCTGTAAACGTTTCAGCAAGCAAGACCAGAAATTTTCACCAGTTGGTCAGATTGGAAGACTCACTCTTAATATTAAGCATGATTAATATAAAGTGAAGGGATATAAATGCAGATCCATACTTCTGCAGTGGTCACAGTGGATGTGTCACCTGTAAGTGGTGCACATATAGATGTCTTGTAAATAAATACTGGATCAGCTCTGTCTTGCTTCTCCTTCATCCTTCAGGTGTGCTCTTCCTTTATAGTTTTTAAAGCAGCCTTCATACATATATACAGCCACTTTTTATGTTACCAGTTTAAAAGCTGCTCTAAGGCTTTGGTGGAAAAGTATATTGGTACTGTGAGAAGCACTAGCCAATAGGTGCCTTTCTCAAACAGCTTTTCCTTTAATGTGATAGAAAGTTGCAGAACCAGATTATTCTAGAGCTCAGTCCAGAACAGCTGAATGTGTGTATGTTGTCTTGACAGAGATTTGTATTCAAATCACCACTTCCACAATTACAATCTTAAATCTGTCTTTACCTCAAAAGCTGTTTGGAAGTTTTCAGAGCAGTACCAGAGGTCAGCACTTGGAAGGCATAATGTGTTATTGAAACTGACGGAACTCTCAAAACCTGGGATTAAAAGGACCATTGTGACTACTGTTCTTTCAGTTCTGACAAAATGCGATAACTGTGATTGTTTTCAGAATGTTTCAAGCTTTTATGACCTTGAACACATTTGTCTCATTGTCTTCAACTATTTGCAGCCTAAAATTATTTAGACCAGACCGAGAAACGCTGAAGTATCAAGGAGGTAGAGACTTTCAGTCACTGGAAAACTGGATGCTGCAGAATCTAAAAGAGGAATCTGTTGTAAGTGAACAGAGCATGCCTTCTCAGGACTCTGTTGTAAGTGAACAGAGCATGCCTTCTTCTCAGGATAGATGACAGAGAAATCTTTGTAATAACAAAAAAGTATTAATACAATAGAATGCATTACAGTAAACACCCACATGTAAAAAAAAATCCTTCTGTTTTCATTGCAGGGAAGGAATTGGGTATAATGTGGACAGTGAGCTTTTGTCTTTGTCGATCATTTATTTCTGCATTCAGCCAGATACAAACTGCCCATGTTGTTTGTGGGATAGTAGGGTACACTGAGAGCGTTTCGGGCTCCAGCTGCTCTTGAATCTGCCTCTTCTGATGATAAGAATTGCTCTTGCTGCTTCTACTCCCACAGCCTGGCTGTCCCAGGCATGATAGCATAAGAAAGTGCCTTGCTTTATCTAGACTTATAACATTTTTTCCATAGGAAAAGAAAGTAATTTTTGCCCCAAATACGTTTGAGTTACTGAATTCAGTTCTGTCATCAGTCTGTTTTCCAAAAACAGACTAAAAATGTGAACAGTGGTCATCACGTTTATAGTTATAGTTTATGACTGAGGCTGCGATCACATGCGCCTTTGGATCCGACACAGGTGTGAATGCCTTACGGATTTAAAGGGAGCAATTAGACATCAACATCTGGGAAGCGTCCTGCAGCGTGGGCAACCTGTGCTGCTCTGCCACAGAAGTGGAGATAAAAGACAGGATAAAAGACACAGGGGAAAGTCCGGTAGTAAACGGGTTCTGACAGGCCACAGACAGACTTTCCCCTCTCTGATTGCTCAAGTACACTCTCAAGCCATCGGGATGATCAGGCCATCTCCCCCCCCCCTTCGCAGTATGCGCATCATCGCATACCCCATAGGGGGCCCTCAGTGTGGAGGTGTGATTCCTTGTTTATGCGCATGGGAAACAAACAGCCAAAAAGCCCTGACTCACCCGCAGTTGCGTCTGATCACACAGTGACGGGCTGAGCTTGCGGCTACAAAGGGAAGTGTGATCTCACGACTGCGCGTCAAATTCCTCCAGAGGGAATAGCCTCACTTCCCCTCTGCTTCAACTGGCGAGTGTGACCTGCAGTCTTACAGTGTCATTACACTAGTAATAGCTTTGTTAGTAAAGGTAAAGGTTCCCTTGCTCGAAAGCCAGTTGAATCCGACTCTAGGGTTGCGGTGCTCATCTCCGTTCCAAAGCCGAAGAGCCAGCGCTGTCTGAAGACGTTTTCGTGGTCATGTGGCCGGCATGACTAAATACCAAGGCGCACGGAACGCTGTTACCTTCCCACCGAAGTGGTACCTATTTATCTACTTGCAATTTCTTGCTTTTGAACTGCTAGGTTGGCAGGAGCTGGAACTAGAGACGGGAGCTCACTCCGTCCTGCAGCACCCGGGTCTCGAACTGCTGAACTATCGACCTTCCACAGCCTGCAGTTCAGTGTCTTAACCACTTGAGCCACCGCAGCTCCTTTGTTATCTGACACTTAATTTGTCCAGACAAGCTCTTCCCCCTTGGCCACCACGCCACTCCTGCCTCTCCAGCCAGCCGTCTTGAGGCCTTTGTCTGTTGCTGGGCTTCTGACAGTTGGTGCCACCAGCTGATGTCAGCATCGGGTCCCTCCTTCCCCCCTCAGCCTCTCTAAAACAGCTCGTCTGCCTGGCTTGCCGTATAGGGTGGCTCTGTGGTTTAAGGGGAAGGGTCCTGCCGGGGTGTTTCCAGTGGGCTTTGGTCACTGCAGGTCCCTCTGGTAGGAGGCAAGACGGAGAGCAGCTTGAGTACCCAGCACATTTAAATAATCAGCTACTGCCATGCCCCGTGAGTGTCGGCGAAGAGAGCTTTTATTGTCTATAACCTGCTCTTCTCTTTGTTATATAATTACGCTAATCTTGTATTCTCTTAATGTGATTTTTTAAAAAATAGGAGCAAGAATCTGAATCGGAGACTCCAAAAGACCCTGAATCAAGGCATGGACTGTATGAGCTCTCAGCAGCTAATTTCAAAACACATATAGCAGAAGGTAGTTACCTAATAATGTAAATTCTAGTACTAATTCTAGTACTAATTCTAGGACATGCAGAGCTTTGGTGTGGCCCAGGCAACAAGTGCATTGAGCACAGAGCTAAAGGACTGTGTCCAACTTCTAGTTCTTCCAGAGACCCATTGTGTGGTCGTGGGAAGCTGCTGTCTCTTGGCCTGAAGAGGAATGGTTTATAGGTTTTTATTAAAAGATTGAAAGCATTAGCCTCAATCATAGGTAAAAGCCACAAACAGTTCTGGAAACGTCTCTTGCCACAAGCTTTAGGAGAAAAGGAAAATTGCCACTTGCTGCCTGAAGGATAATACTATGAGCACCAAACAAATGTGTTTGGGAAAGGTGTTTCATATTTGGTACTAGTATCTTACCTGTCAGAGTTGTACAAAGCATATAATAAAGGCTAAAGCCCTTTGGAAATGAAAACGTTGACATTTTAAAATACAGAACTTGCGTTTTTATAAAAATTTATCTTGCAGTGATATAATACCACATTCTGTTCGCAGAGTACTATTAGTGTGCTTTTTGTTTCCAGATGTTACAGTGTATTTGAATATAACAGTAATGAGATGCTACAGAAATACCTTTGATTTATATATATCTTTTAGGCTGTTCAAAGTACTTCTTAATTACACGCTCCTCAATTTTTACAACAACCCATTAAGGTTGGTCACTGTAATTATTCCCGTATTGCAGACTAAGTCGGGAAAGGAAGCCGGAAAAAATAGTGGCTTGCCTATGGCTGTGTTTTATGTATGCATTTTTTTTTCTTTTAAAGGCAGTCACTTTATCAAATTCTTTGCCCCATGGTGTGGCCACTGCAAGGCATTGGCTCCAACGTGGGAACAGCTGGCTCTGTTCCTTGAAAATTCTGAGACTGTCAAGATTGGCAAGGTATGTTGGATTGGCCAGATAGCTAGATTTTGTTATGCAGAGGTCACATTATTTGCAAAAGCCCCATGAATCACACTTAACTGTGTTGAATCTGTGCTTTCTTATGACCAGTTTGTGTAGCTTCACTTTAGAATTTCCTGGTGTTTTGCTGTGTGTTTAATAGAGCCAAACCCACAAATAATGTATTGCTCTGCTGTGCGCAGCTGTGTGTTGCAAGGCAACGACAGCATTGCACTTCGCAAACTTTTACCCAGGAGGAGGGATTCTTCTCGGGCAAGTGTACTAGTTGTCAGTAGGAAGTCAGCCATGCTCGCCGGGGCTTGTCATTTTAAAGGAGGAAAAAGTAGAACGTTTTAATGACAATAGAGCCCATTCCTTTCCATCTTCAGGCTTGTGTGTGAGTACTGGCATACCTGTTGGTGGCTGCACCCATGTCTCTCTGGCCTTTCTGATGAGAAAGGTTGCTCACCCTGTCTGTGATGTTCAACCACTAAGCTATTCAGGTTCAGACAAAACCCATGCATTAGGTTTAGCGATGATTTCTGGGGGCAAAACTACATGCTACATTCAAACATGTGCAAAGAAGGCCAATTTAATTTAAAAAAAAGTAACTTTGAGAAGATGCTATTTTGAGAGGAGAAACTCTTTTGCTCTGTGTTGTCCTCTCCCAGCTGGTCCCCCCCCCCCAGGTTCAAAATGCGGGGGCAGATAAATATGAATCTGGAATCCTGAATATGTAAAAGCATCTGGGGTACACTGAAAGGTGGGAAGTATCTGAGCTGAGCCTGTAAGCTCCCCGGATTTGACAGGCAGCTGTGACGCTTTTGCAAAGTTCTTAGCTGAGGACAATTGTTCAGTTGTCGCTCACTGACACAGTTGAGAGCTTAAGGGTGATTCTGGATCCAGCTTTGTTGCTGGAAAGCAAGCTGATGCAGCTCCAAAAATGGTGTTCTACCAGCTCCAGTTAGCTTGACGTGGCTGATGTGGCCACATGGATCTGTGCTACGATTTCCTTGAGGCTAGACTACTATAGTGCAGTCTTCATCGGTCTCCCCTTATAGTCAACTTCCAAACTCAAGTTGTATAGAATGCTCCAACATTACGGAACAGTCTACTTGAGACTAGTAGGAAGGCCTGCTATTCTTTCTATCATTTTGTGAAATGTGCAAAACAGATTTGTTCAGGTCATTTCTTGTAGAGGAGTAGAACTGGGAGCTGGGATATAATGGATCATCTCAGGAGGTGATTCCTGTTAGTGATAAGTTGTTTTTGTTTTATCTTCTGGTCCTAGCCCACCCCCACCCCTGTATTCAGTTGTTTTTCTAGGAATCTTTTCTGTTAGACTCAAGCATTATCATATTTTGTAATCCACTTGCTGATCGACTGAATAGGTTTAACTAGGAATCTTTGCTGTTACATTCAAATACTGTCGTCAGTCAAATTTCATCATACTTTGTAATAGGTTTATTGATTGACTGAATAGTTCAGTCATACTGGAAATCTGTCTTTAGTCCGAACGAGAAAGGTGGACTGTAAATGGAAATAAACTCAACTCGTAGGAAAGGGCATCGATTTGTTCCACTGTAGTCTTGCTGTTCAGAACAGCAGGGGTAAGGGTGTCAACTAGAAAGTAAGACGTGAAAGGCTTAGAGACAGAGATAATACAGAATAAGTGATTTGTTAACTATAAAATGACAAACTAGGAAATGGGATGAGGTTAAAAAACAATACAGAACACCTAAAGCGATGATAGATTAGGTCACTGAGAGAGGGTCTGGACTGAAAACAGTATCACTAGCTGATTGGAATAAAACAAATACATTATAGAAAAATAATGAACCATGAAGTCCTGAAGTCATTGAAAGCACAAGTAGAAATATATCAGATCGTATTTTGGGGGAAATATAAGCTATGAAAGCAGAACACTGAATGCTTTGACTTTAGGAAGTGCTTCCTAAAGAACAGAAATATCAACAGAAGCATATACCCCAAAACATTAAGAACTTTAGAATTCTAAATATAAACTCTTTGAACACAGATGTCTATCATCAAACAGTGGCAGTTTTGCAAATTAGACAGCAGAACCTTATATTTGGTAGTAGAAACTACAAGTGGTAAACACTTCTTTAATAACTTTCTTCTGATTTTAAAATTAATGAGAGATTAAGGTTAGGGGGAAAGCCCAGGCCACATGCCAATTATGGACCTCTTAAGATCTGAATTGTGTCCACAGTATCCTGACTAGAGAGCTGTAGCCCCACTTGGGCAATGCGGCACCCAGCACTACACTGTGTGTAGTGAATATAGTGCACCATTGAAAGATGGTGCAGTAAACAAATCTGTGCTCAGGTAGCAGCGTGCTTAGCCTTAAGCTGTGAAAAGTGGAAAATGGAAAAACTGTGTTATATGCAAAATTTGTATAAGGAAGCCCTGACATATTTGGGGGAAAGGCTTCTCTTTTATGGTTCATTGACATTTTCCTACTCTTTTCTTCTACAATTTGGTGGGTAATGTTGTATTTCCAGTTTCAAGTTCTTTCCCTCCTGCTTGGCTGATTTGGCTGCTGCATCTTTTTCTGCACCCTCCCATAATTTCAACTTTGTCACTCCTGTTTCCTTCAATTTTCTGTATTTTCAATCCTCTCTGGCCTTGGTTGTATCCCTTCTGTAACTGTTGTTGTTTGATTCCTGCAATGTTCCCTCTAAGCTTTGGAGTCTTGTGAGCAAAAATTCTACTTCATGAGCTATTAGCATGAAAGTTGTGAGCAAGCGATTTGGCTCCTGCATAAATCAGTTTGCTCTGGAGCTGTCCTTCCTGAGCTAAGACAAAAATGCATGAGCCGGAGGCTAAAAAACTGTGAGCTAGCTCACACTAACTCAGCTTAGAGGGAGCACTGGTCCTTTGTGTTGTGAACATCTTTGGTATAAATCCAACTCAGTTCACATAAAATTAATGCTTTCAACCTGTTCATCTGCTTTATCTTCTATTAAGACATCGTTCTTCTTTTATCTTCCTCTACTTGTCTTCAACTTCTGTGGATTGCTTTTGTCTACTCTTTTGTCATTCTCCTCTGTCTGTTCAATTGTTTTCCTGATGGCTTTACCCAGTATTTTATCCATAATTCTATTATTTGTTGTTCATTATCCTCCTCTTTGGGTTCCTTCTACTTCTGTATCCATAAACATTTGTCCTCGATCTTTTTTGTCCAGTTTCTTCTTCTGATGTTGCTTTCTGTTTTGTGGGTCCTTTTTTCATAATATTCTCTTCTTTCTCCTCTCATCTACCTTTTCATTTTTTTCAGTTTCTTCTGGTGTTATCTCTTTTCACTTTATACATCCTGCTGTTTCCCCAGTTCTGAAAAAGATTTGCTTTGATATTCTGCCTTGGGGACCCTGATCAGGTGGGAAGGCTGCATAATTTTCAAAAAATAAATAAATAAATATTCTTCAGCCATTGTCCTATTTCTGGGGGGGGGTTAGACTTATTTTTATTTATTTATTTATTGTCTTGACTGTTTTTGCAACCATTGTTATAAAAAGCAAACCCTCATTCCACAATAAACCTTGTTCCACAGGAAAACATGGAAGAATTTAAAGGTTGCTACTGCAAGAGTTGTCATGTGATTTGACAGCAGCTGCTAGAAATTCTGCCACATGCAGAGTAGTTTGTTTGTCTTTGTCTCTAAGTAACCAGGATGATTTTGCTTCTAGAGAAAGGAAGTCCTGGTTAAATAAAGGGGAGATCAGTTAATCTCGTAGAGCTGAAAATTTGGAACAATGAAGAAAAATATGATCTACAGAGTCAATTTTACTGCTGTCGCAATTACGGAGTTGATTTGAGTATGAAATCCCATTAAATCTTCCTGACATCCCAGCTGAAGGTAGGGCATTCAGGCACACTAGCTTGAATGCCCTTCTATACTTTGAAAGAATTATCTCAGATAAATATTTCGGCATTGTTGTTGGGCGGCTGAATGGGTACTGAAAAGGTTGAGCACACTCTGTGCTCTGATAGTCAAAGTCTCTCAAATGTCTTCTAATAAGCTGTGACAGTTCTTGTCTACTCATGACTTCTATCACGTCATGGACGATTGTTGTTGTTCAGTCACACGGTCGAGTCCGACCCTTCGCGACCCCATGGACAATCTCCCGCCAGGCTCTCCTGTCTTCCGCCGTCCTCCGAAGTTGGCTCAATTTCATGTTCGTTGCATCGCTGACACTGTCTAACCATCTCATCCTTTGCCGTCCCCGTCTTCTTTGACGATCCCCAGACATAATAGTTTATGGTCCAGTAATCTGTCCCAATCACTTGTGTGGTGGTCCAGCTTAACTAGTCCGATGAGGTTTAGATCCGGGTTTGATTTTAGAGTCCTGATTTTCAAATTTTATTTATTTATTAGATTTTTTTATTTTATTGAATGCTCTTCCCCAGGCCTTTGCTTCATAAGACATCTCCCCAACTTCTGCTCCCAGGGCTCTTCCAGACACACATTGAGGTGTCTCCAGAATATTGTGTAGAAATCTTAATAGAGGTCTGTCGATATTGTCTCTTACTGCACTGATCCAGACCCCTGCTTTACCATACTTAAAAAGACTTGTCCGTTCCCAGTGCCTTGGTTTGCTTTCTTCCTGTTCCCTTGATGACATCTGGCTCTGACTCGTTAGCCATACTCTCAGCCCTTTTTGCTTAATTTTCTTTTGCTCCATTTTAATCATGTTACATTTTTATTATTTGGATCGTTTTGAAAATTTCTGCTGACAAATGACTTCCATCAGCAGAACACAACTTCCTTTCCTCTCTCCTGCTGCAGCCCAACCCCCCCCCAAAAAAGCCAGAGATCTGCAGCAAGTGGGAGATTAGTGTAGATCACCCTCCCCTTCCATCAGCAGAGATCCTCCATAGGATCCAACCCATTATGTTTTTTTGTTATTGGTTTCCACTGATTTCAAATTTGTCTACACTTTTAAGTCTCTTCACAGTCTTGGCCTTTATTAGCTATCTTCATTGCATTCCAGTCTCCTCCTCGGTTACTGCATTCCTCAAAGAGTAATGTAATGAAAGCCTCATTCCCTTGTGTTATTTTTTTCAGTGGTTATGTGTTTTTTCTCTCATGGTATCTTATTCATTTCCATCAGTGAAGGGAGGTATCCTTAGCACTGGGTTATGCCTTCTCCTTGCTTCATGGGCAGGGCCTATGGAAATGATTTTTGCAAAGCTTCCTTGGTTGTTTGGAGGCAGAACCCCGTCCTTGACCTGGCTGCTCCGTGGCTGGACAGACTTCCTCAGTTTGTTTGCTGAAAAGCTAAGAAGGAGAGAGCAAGAGAACAAAAAATGCAGCAACACAAGAAGTCATCCACGTCTCCCCTGCTTCCTGCCTGATTGCAATGGCAGTGGGGACAAGCAGAAAGAAATGCTGTCAATCCCTGGGGGAGCAGCTGGCTTTGCCAGGAGCCAAGCTGAAACCTGGCTCTACCTCTCATCTCGTTTCAGAGCAGTCTCAAGCCTCTGCAGTAGCGGCTGGCTCCTCTGTAGCTGCTTCCATCTCCCCCATCGATGCTTTTGGTGGGGACAGAGAGAGTCCAGATGGCCCTCTCCCACATCGAGGCTTTAGCAGCAGACAGGCCCCAAGGGAGAGCCGCCCCCCAGCACCAAGTCAGTAGGCCCGTTCTCTCACTCCAGAGACGGAAGCGAGTATCGCCGCCTTCTGACACTCCTCCCCCATCGCACCGCCACATAAATGGATCAAGGAGGAAATGGGTGGTGGCAGCAGCAGCAACTCAGCCATTCTTCCAGGGGAGAGGTGCTCCCCCTGACCTTTCCAGTTATTCTAGATGAGGCTTCCCTTCGCCCAGGCATTCATGAATGACCCAGAGACAGACGTACAACAGGATCTGAGGCAAAAAAGACGGGGGAAAGGAGACACCGCAGAAAAAGGGAAGAACTCTCCTCTTTCCTCTTCTTTTTCTACTTCTTTCCCCCAAAAAAAGACAAAAAAGCACTCCCATGCCTGTAGCCACCATTTTTCAGGGGGCCCTGCTTCCTACTCTCCCTGGAAGTTCTTCCAGGCCTCAGTGCACGTGGCTTCATGTCAGCCCATTTCCCTGTCTGCAGGCCCAGGCAATCAGCCCTCTATGGCCTTACAGAGTTGCTGGATCCTCTGACTCTGAAAGGGAGGAAGGGGGAGTGGTCAGGGGAAGAAGATACTGTTGCTTTGTGGCCAGCTTTCACCAGGCTTCTTCAGCAACAGCAGGAAGAAGACAGCAGGTCACCAGGCTGGAAATGTTCGGGCTCCACCTGCCATTCCTCCGAACACTTCTGATCATTGTAACTCCAAGGGTTTTTTTTTTTCTTACAACCTTCCTCTTACTTCTTCCACTGTGTTTTTTCCTGACTCCTTTAGTGAGGCCCTCTATAGTGAATGGACCATCCCAGAGAGGGGAGAGACCTATCATCCACTGCAAAATGGATGTATTTACTACCATACACCACCATGAAGGCGCTCAAGGTCCCACTGGTGGAAGTCTCAGTGGCTGGTCTTTTCTCTGGTACTGTTCTTCCCAAGGATGGGGACAACACTTTCAAAAATTCCCTTAAGTTCTCCCTTAAGGCCATGAAACCTCAGCTCTCATGTCACAGGAAGAGGTTTAAGACCCTTTCAGCAAGCAACACAGATTCTTCTCCCCAGATGGCCTAGAGCAGGGCCTCTGGCCTAACGTTCTCTGGCGACCTGTAGGTGCCCCGTCTTTGGATCTCCGGCTGAGAGGAGGCCAACCCATCTGTAGACACAACCATATCAAGTGTTTTCTCATAGGAACGTCTCTTCCAGTCCTCATGCTTAGACATAGGTTCCTTTTGTGGGTCCACCATACAGTCCTCAGAGTTTTTCATGAGCCTCTTTTTGAGCCTCTGGAATCCTCTCCTTTGCAGATTTTGGCCTTCAGCATAGCCTTTCTCATCACCATCACACTGGCCAAGAGGGTTTCAGAACTCTCCGCACTCTCAGTTAAGAAGAGTCTCTTTCCAGAAGGACTCTGTGACCCTAATGCACAGACCCGTCATGCTGAAAGTAAACTCCACGCTCCTCAGATACCAGGAGATCTGTCTCTCCTCTTTCTGTCCTCATCCAAGTCATCCTAAAGAATGAGACTGGTGCAAACTAGATGTCAAGAGAGCACTACGTATCTAGCATACAGCTGCCTCCAGACTGTCAGACTCTTGTTTGTTCGTTTCCTTCCTTCTCCCTAGTATAGGAAAGGAGGTATCTAAGTTGACTATAGCCAGATGAATCAAGGCCTGTGTCTTCCTGGCCTACAGGATCCAGCACCCACCAGCACTATCTGGGGGTCACTGCGCATTCCACCAAGGTGGCGACTAGTTCAGCAGCCCTTTCCACTAACACACATATGGGGAAAAAAATCTGTAGGGCAGCTACGTGGACTTCAGCCTCAACCTTTGTGAGGCGCCACAAGCCAGATGAGTTTGCCTCAGCTGAGGCCCTTTCAGCAGAAGAGTTCTCCCAACAGGAGGTTCTCCATTGATTTCTCCCCATCTTGACTATTCTACCTGGGCTCCTTCAGCTTTTCAGCATCCCAATATTAAGAATACCTTCACCCACTAATGGAAAACAAAACGTTGGACTTACCATGAGGGTTTCTTCTCATCAGTGGATTGGGAGGTATCCTCTATGTTCACTGATGGCGGCAGAATCGGTGGGGGAACACTGTTTCTCCTACTGGGATGGGGACCTTTTCCTCGAAGACACTGCCCATTAGCAGTTTCTACATGGAGGTGGACCTGTCTTCCTTGGAAGCTTGGCAGGACAAGAATTAGGTTCCAAATCCAAAGGATGGAGGGAGCCTTGCAAAACTTATTTTCATAAGCCCTGTTCACAGAGCAAGGAGGAGGCATAGTAACCCAATATTAAGGATATTCTTCGAGTCCAGCGATGAGAAGAAACCATCACAGTAAGTCCACTGTGTGATCCTGTGACCATAGTCAAACTGAAACAAATGTTACTGCAGTCTCTTCTGTTGCACTTGAGAATTATTTCAATTGTCCTCTGATTTAGGTGGACTGCACACAGAATTCTGGAATCTGCTCGACATACCAAGTGCGAGGCTATCCAACCCTCCTTTGGTTCAAAGATGGAGAAAAGGTGAGAGCGTATTATGAACTAATACTGTGAGATTAGAACTGTCTCATCCTTTATGTAGCAGATCTGACCTTTAATCCTGTGCAAGACTTCTGACTGTTATTTATTATTTAAGCACATGTCCCACTTTCTTCCCACATTTGGGGACTCAAAGGTGCTCACATAATAAATGCAGAAGTACAGTTTAGATGTAGGCATGTACAGCACTGTGCTCCAAAACCCCGGGCTAGTTCTGGTTTTACTAGTTTGGCACACTCAGCATCACAGGTGCCAAGCCATGCACTAAAGGCCCTTTGGCCTATACCAAAGGCTCCTGTCTCTGACCACCAAGTACCTACAATAGAGGAGGAACACAGCCCAGATTTCGTTCGGCTGATAAAAAGATGCTCCCAGCCTCAGCCTTCCTCCCATCCCAGTTTTGTAACTGTTGAGAACCTGATCCTCTAGTTGATGTTTTAAATAACCGCAGCTCATATTAACCACAAGTTGCCAAGTAGCACAGTTCATCCTTCCATTAAGTAGATACTTATTTTGTGCTGGAATTACAAAAAAAGATTCTGAATTTTATTTCCGAACCCCAGTTTTTACAAAGAGTTGCTAGAAGGCTATTGTGTTCCTTTCAGATGAAAATTATAGTACCGATTCACTGCAGCACTGAATGCTTGAGGGTCATACTCTTCACAGAAGATTGTCCGTGAGGATCATGTAGGAGATTAATCATCCATTCCATGGCATGTGCAGTTCTTTTTGTAGGACTCACCTGTTTCTTGGCCCATCAAATCTACCTCCACCCCATCTTTAATCAGCAAAAATGCCTTCTGTCTGCTGCTGTAGCCAAAATATTGCCCCTTACAAAGTTGTGCCCTAGACATCTGCCTGGATTTAAGATGGCCTTAGTCATTAACGTCTCTTCCAGTATGATTTGTTCCTACACAGCTTGTCTCGGGACAGCATTCTAGATGTGTTTGCATTTTTAATTATAGACACTGTTTATTTATCTCCTTCATTTATACCCTGCCCTTTCTACCAACTGGAGACCCAACGCAGCTTGCATTGTTCCCTTCACTTTCATTTTATCCTCACAACAATCTTATGAGGTAGGATAGGCTGAATGCGTGTGACTGACCCAGGATCACCCAGCAAGCTTCCATGGCAGAGTAGGGATTCAAACTTGGGTCTCCCAGATGCTAGTCTGGCACCATAACCGACAGATGTGAATCAAGTTAGAAACATAAGCAGAGCCATGCTGGATCAGACCAGAGGCCCATCAGGTCCAGTACTCTGCTCACACAGTGGCCAGCCAAGCTGCCTCTAGGAAGCCCGCAAGCAGGATGACTGTGACCACTAGTACATTTGAAAGGATGCTATAAATCAGATATAAGTATTCTGCAGCAGCTTTGCAAAATTGCCTTTGTATGGTACAACTTTGGGAAGCGATTCCTGAATTAATAATTTACGTGATCTCTCTGTAGGCTGACCAGTACAAAGGAAAGAGAGACTTGGATTCCTTGAAGGAATATGTGGATTCCCAGCTGAAAACCTCCGAAGATGATTCAGGTGATGCTAAGCCTACTGAGGCACCACCACCACCACCACCACCACGAGAAATAATTCCTGAGGGAGAGGTGGGATCTAAATTTCTACTTAAATAAGTTTCTTACAGTAAAAGTTATTCCAGTGATTTGGTGCCACAGCTCCACCTCAACTGTAGCTTTGGACATTCCTTTGCGGCATTCAGTGGAAGAATTAATTGACTGCTTTGTTTTCATACTGTCCTTTAGATACCTTTCCAAAGAAAATAGTTCTTAGTGACTCAGCCTTTTGTGCAGAATAACCTAATTAGATAGTTGAATACAGAATGTTCACTTCCTGTCATGTGGTAGAGCCACTTCCTGCTGCCTCCTTCTCATTCAGTCATGACCCTTGTGACATCACTCTGTGTGGCCGGGGCAAACATAGTAGTATCTGTCTTGAATGGTATCACAGCACGGAGACACAGAAGAAATGGACAGGAAAGGAGGGATTACCATAAACCAGAAGGTGCTAAAGGATCAAGATATGTGTAGAGGCAGAGAGCCAAAATACCTGATAGGACTGTTCATTGTGCCTGCATTGTTCATATGCTGGATTTTCAAGGGGTGTAGTGCAGATTGCCACAAAACTGGCTGTGTGACACATGAATTGGCATTTGATTATAGTCATGTATATGTTTAGGATTCGGCTTTTCACATTTGGTCTCCCATTTATTTTATTTATTTATTATATTTGATTTATTGGCCGCCCTTCCCCGCGAGCAGGGCTCAGGGTGGCTTACATCAGGAATAAATCCATATATCTAATAGCCAACTTGCCCCCGGAGTGCGGATTGCTAAATCAGCGCTCCGGGGGCAGCTGGGGGGCCGGGGGAGGTTTGTGTACACGTGGGCCAGTCCCCACGTGTGCACAAAAATAAAAAAGCTGAAAAAAAATCTCGGGGGATGTTTAAATCCCCCCGAAAGTGCAAGAGCGTCTCCTGCACGTGCGCAGGAGACGCTCTGTAACTGCCGCCGCTGCTTGGGAGGGAAGCGGCGAGCGGCGAGCAGGGGGGGGGCCCAGAGCGGGGAGGCCCTGCCGGCCGGGCGAGCAGACGGCTGGGGAAAAGTGAAGCCCGGGCGGCTGCAGCCGCCGGGGCCTCAGTTCGGAGCCGGACGGCAAGGGGGAGAAACAGCGAGGCCCGGGCGGCTGCAGCGTCCCGAGGCCTCGCTACGGAGCCGGGCGCAG